GACATGATAATCAAAACTAAGCATGTATTTTGGCAGAGTATCTGAGGTACCAGCTGTAAAGGCTCCGCCCTAATTTGGAAAAGGGGGCGGGGAGCAGCAGCTCATTTGCATTTAAAGATAAAGGCACAAAAACAGCGTGTTTTGAGCTGAAACTTCACAGACACATTCTGGGGACACCTGAGACTTAAATCTTGTAAAAAGGGGCTTAATTGGTCACCTTTAAAGAGCCTGTCTCAAGCTGTATTCTGTTGCACTCTTTTGTGCTGTCTTTTGAGCAGAGGGAGCCAACCCTGCTCCTGGATGACTACCTTCCTGCAGACTTCAGTTTCAACCCTGCTCCAACACACCTGACTGTTCTTAAGTGACCCTGAACATTCTGATTAGCTGGATCGGGTGTGTTAATTTAAGGTTGAAGCAAGAACTGAGTTTGACACCCCTGAGCTAAACTCTGCAGGATGGTTGGCTTTACCTGCTCATTATGAATCAGATAATGAGCCCTCTAAATATGTCTAAATATAGCACACTCTCATGTGCTGATTGCTGTGAATGTCGTAATTACAAAATTAAAAGTTAGGTCCCTATTTGACTCTTTGTTTGTAGAGTTATTGAATTTTCAATTCAGCTAAAAGTCACGCATCATCATAATCAATCATTGTCACGTATATCCCTAGTTAGCTTGATATGTATTTTATGTACGTAGCATTATGTTTTATTGCTTAATATTGGAAACAACCCAACAAATTCATTACATGTCTTCTCTTTGGGGATTTAAGACAAGCTGGAGGTTATCCTAACTTATCCTAAGAGGTTATTTACAAAGATTTTTATGGAATTCAGGATTCTTTTCAGGAATTCAAATTCAATATTAACATAAAAGATAAGATTTAAGAGAGTAGCGTTTAGGAAGATTTTTATTCTAAATTGTTCATGAATCTGGCCCTTGGTGCAAAAGGTTTGAATGCGCGCCAATAAGGCTGGGTATCGAGTTCGGTGCTCTTTAGGCACCGACAGAATTTCCTCGATGAGTATCAAAACATGTCTTGTTCGTTCTGTACCAAATTTCGATACCTAAGGGGTTAATCAAGGAAAAACACTAACGTTAGTTGTGTTCGACTTGACAGGGCGCTGCTCAGACCGATCAGTGTTTGACATGAAAGTACCACAAGAGCGATTCGAAAGCTTACGGAGCTGTCCGTCTGCTGTCTATAGCTCTCACAGTACTTTGATGTCACACGCCGATCGGTCTGCACAGCGCCCCATCAAGTCGAACACAACTACTAGTTTACGCCGACGCCCGGAGACGTGGCTCAAAAGTGAGGCTGTAGTGTGTAAGCGTCCAAGCCCCATAGATGTAAGGCTACATTTACACTAGTGGGTTTTCGTTTTAAAACAGCTTTTTAAAATGAAAGAAAAGATCTCTATACACACTTCACGACAGAAAAACACCATCCAGTGTTTGTAATAACCTCCGACTGCGATCTAATGTGTGTTTTGGCCATATAATGTTGCTGAAATATGTTATTTGTAGCTTATATCAGGCTAATCGCTACACCTGCTTAGCATTTCTCATGTAAACACACTGTATTGTTATGAAAGTAGGCAGAATCTCATGAAAATCACATAAATCATATACTGCTGTAACCAGGGTTGGGCAAAGATACATCAAAATGTATTTTAAAATAAAATACCAAATACCTTAATTTTAAGTGTATCAAAATAAACTACAAAATACAGCAGCCACACCAAGTATCAAAATAAACTACTGTATTTTTGTATTTTAAAAATACAAAAAAATACTTTTACAAAGGAGCATGAAATTTCTTCACAAACCTTCCATCAATTGGCCTATTTGATCTATCCTTTCACCATTGCACTAACTCAGATGATTAAGTAAACAATGTTTGATAGCAACAGCTTTTCTCTGCCCGAGTCATGCAATAAATCTGACATATGCAACCAGTTATTCACATATCCCTGTGATCTCCCAGATGAAGGTTAGTTTTAAAGTAACCAACAGTTTAATGTTTAACAGTTTGCGAATGACTCATAGTTGTATCCTAATTTAGTTACTTGGTGCTTGGTAAGGAAGGGCCTACTTTGCATCAGCAGCACTGACTCAATGACAAACAAGTCCTTCATTAGAAGACTACTGATGGCACATGTATTCATAGCAACTAATTTCTAACTACTTAATCATTTGATCGTTAGTCATAAATATAATAATATATTATGTGTCAGGCAGTCATTCATGCAATGGTATGTAAAATCATGATCATACTAAACAGCTACTTCAATTAGGGTACAATATTCAGAAATCAAATATTTATTTATCAATCACTGGACACTTATTTGGAAGTTGAAAACAAACATTCTAGCATTACAACAATTATTAAATGATAAGTATGTTTTGATTTAGAAACGTAATCAGAAAGTAGCAACAGAAATTGTCAAGGAGTATTAACCCAACTCCAACCACTGAATCTATAGAAGTATAAAGGACACATACACATATACACTTATAATAAGTGAAATTGCACCAAGCACATCACATTCTATTACTCATTCATTCATGCTTCCTTTTGAATGAATGAATGAATAATTCCTGCCCACTAAAAGCTGCACAGATATATTTGCTTTCCCCAACAGGCCTATCTATGTAAACGATTTAGAAAAATGTCCGTCGATTCACACTTTATATCATCGCCACGATATGTATTGTCATATCCGTATTTTAAATACATGTATCTGAAATACTGCCCATCCCTGGCTGTAACCGTGTGTTTATTAGGTTCATGTTTCAGCCGTAGAAATGTTTTTTTTTTTAGTTTCTTATGTACAGAACTGAACGCAGAAGTGTAATGGATATTCATAATTAGAGACAGGGCGGGTTATGAACGCGTAATATGATTGACAGATGAGCAGCGGATGAGCTTCCTCTGAGTCAGAACAGCTATCACAGAAGAGAGAACACAGGCAGACAGTGCTGGAAGCAGCTAATGCTCATCAGTAAATCAGTGGAAAATGAATAGAAATGATTCTGTCTGAGCTATGAGTTTTAAAACGAAAACACACTAGTGTAAATGCACCCTAAAAGATGTGTAAACTGAAAACTATTTGCACTGATTTATTGTGATGGTTACATTTTGTTCCTTTGTGATTTTTTTTTGTTCTTTTGTGCAGTGGCTCAGGAGATGAGTCTTAGAGTCTGTAAAAATGCCAACAAGCTGAAAAAATAACAGTTTTTCTTTTTTTTTGAGTTAATATAATCTTGTTAAAAGACATTTCATAAAACTGGTATCAAAAAAAGTATCGTTCAGGAACCGGTATCGAAGTCAAGGTATCGATATCGAAAAATGTTAAATTATACCCAGCCCTACGTGCCAATATGGATTTGTGAGCTACAGCAAAAAGGAACTTTTCCAGTGCATGGGTTAAATGAAGCAATTTTATGGCACTTTTTTGTTTCTTTCTTTCACATATTTGGAGCTTGGCAGCCCCTGATCACTGTATGGAAAAAAAGTCTTCTGTGTTCTGCTGATGAAGGAAATTCACATAGCTGTGGAAAAACATGAAGGTAAATATAATAATAATTATTTGCTAATTTTAAAATGAAAAACAACTCAATAAGATAATTGTTTATGTTTAAGTGAACAATATTAAAGAATGGTACTCTTCAGCGTGGCTGCAGTTTGCTGGTCAGCAGTGTCAGTGTAAATGACAAGCGGAGCTCTCATCACAGACTCTGAGCCTTTATCTGCTCTGAAACTTACAGTCAGCTCTGTAGGAATGATCAGCTCAGACTGCTGCCCACCCTACCGAGAGAGAGAGAAAGATGAAGACCATAGGACATTACTCATTACCAGCAGAAAACAAACAGAACTACCTAAACAGAACTCAGAATCAGATAAAAAATACTGGAGTGCATTTGAATGACATGAAGATCAGCACTCACTGTTTTGATTTGATGTCCTTCGTATGGATACGTGCCTTGTATTTTCACCATCTTGTCTGGTTTACTCCATTTCTCTGTTTGTGCATGTGTGGGTATTCCTGAAGTGTTTGTAGAATGACAAAGTACTGATAAAAATCTGGAAGACAAATTGGGAAATCAATTGACAACTATGAATAAAAGCAGGATTTTTTTTGGCAACCAAACCCTTTTGACCAAAAAAACAGGACTTCCCAAACAAAGGCTTGTGAGGGAAATGCAAAGGGATCATTTATGAAAAGCTACTAATGAATTATATGATAAAAATAGCTTAGTGTGATTATCAAATAGCAAAAGCCAGCAATTTATTCTGATGAAATGTATCACTGTGTTTATTAACGCATGAGCAGCTCATGATCTGGTGTTTTTAGTGTCTTGAGCAACTTGCAGTAATTTCTAACTCGGGTTGACATAATGGATTAATCGATTTTAATCTTCAATTTGATGAACCAATATTGATTCTTAAATCCCAAAAACAATCTTTTAGTCTATGCTGTTTTCAGTTAACAGATAAACAAAACTTCACTAAACATTTACATTTGGTCATTTTGCAGACGCTTTTATCCAAAGCGACTTACAATTGGGGTTATGCGGTTGTCACTCCTGAAACTTGCAGTGTGTACGTGGCCAATAAAACAGCTTGTAAACAGTGTGTCATGTAACATTATATTTACCTCAGGAAAACCATTTGATGTCCAAAGCTAGCTAAATATATGCACTAAATAACATTACATTACATTTTTACATAGCATGTTAGCCTGTTATAATTTGAAGTTTTCTTGGTTAAGTGTTTGAATATATATGTAATGAAAAAAAATCAAGACAGCCACTGTTTAAATGTGCATATTTCAACGATGAATTGGAATCCGTCAGTATCCTTCTGTCTCGTAAGACAATGGAATCTGCACCATGGGGGCCTCTATACATTTGCTGAGTTACAGCACCTACTGTGACTGTATAGTCCAATTCTTGATGAGCATGCTTTATTGCAGTTGCTGCAAGTTGTTCGGTCTGCTCTCTGCCGTCGCCGTTCTCTTTTCTCTTCCCATTGGTGCTCTCTACTCCTCTTGCTAAATTCGGTGCCTGATTGAATGGCACGCCTCCATCTGTTACGACCTACAGCTACTTTTTCCAGGTCGTCTGGATTGATGTTACTTGCTTTCAGGTCTTGTTTGCATACATCTTTGTAACGAAGTACAGGCCTTCCTGCCGGCCTGGAGCCAGTGGAATGTTCATCGTGTAGCAGATCTCTGAGGACTCAACCAGCATTCATGCGGCTGACATGACCAAGCCAGCGCAGACGCCTCTGGGTGAGCAGGGCAAACATACAGGTGCATCTCCATAAATTAGAATGTCGTGGAAAAGTTCATTTATTTCAGTAATTCAACTCAAATTGTGAAACTCATGTATTAAATAAATTCAATGCACACAGACTGAAGTAGTTTAAGTCTTTGGTTCTTTTAATTGTGATGATTTTGGCTCACATTTAAGACAAAGCCACCAAATCACTATCTCAACAAATTAGAATATGGT